AAATACTTTCTTAGGGCAGTGTTTTGTTTTTCAGATTTAAAGAAATGACTGGAGGGAAAAATTGTTAAATCTATATTTTTCTCTTAAATCTTCTGTTAAATGAGATCTTTTGGTGAAAATGGTGGTGTCTTAGTCCACTTTCCATGTTGCTGGGACAAATATCTGATACTCACCACCTACTGGGGGAGATTTTTATTTTGGCTCACATTTCAGTAGTCTTGGTTTTTGCAGGATCAGCTGGCTCCAAGACAGAATGGCGTGGCAGAGGGGTCTGGGGCCTGAAAGCAGAGAGAGATAAGAGAGAACCCTGCAGAAGGAAGTACACCCTTCCAGGCCACACCCTCAGTGACCTGCACTTTTAGCTATACGGCCCCATAATCCAACACCTTCCAAAAGCCTTGCTTGTGGGTGCATGAGGCTTTAGGGGAGCATCTAGAGATAAACTCTAACAGGTGGTGGTATTTTAATCAGATTAGATATTCACATTGGGACTTCAGGGATATTAATAGAATGTATATTGGGGTTTTCCTCTTAACAAGTGGGGCTAAACTGACTCTATAATTCATATACATGAATTTGAAAAAGCTAAATTTTGTGTTTTGTCATGTGAATATTTGTAACCGCTTTCCACGTACAAGTCTTGCTTCAAATATTGCAGTGTTAGATGGGGGTAGGATTAAAACCATACTCTGAACAGTCTTTTCCATATTAATATTTTATGAGATCTTGATGAATTTACCTTGAGGTCCTATAGTAACTTATTCCCTGGAGTACTATCTTTCAGAGGATAGACTCCCAGAACGGAGGGACCATTTTTTAAAAATGCTAAAATTCTGTTCATCTTGATATTAAATTCTAGCTTTCTCACTTGCTCTCTGAGTTTTTTTTCTCTGAGCCTCAATTTTATAGCCTATACAATGGAAATACTAATGCATATTACTTAGTGTATGAATAGGAAGTTTATGAATTCCTAAATCCAGGATAATCACTCAGCATATGCTACAGAAGATGGTGTTTTCTCAGGCTTAACAGATTCCCTACTGAATATGGGGAGATACGTGACTGGAAGACTAGGAATTGTTAGTGACCAATGTTTGGCTGTGGGATCGGCCACTGGTCGTGAGCATTGCACCAGGTCCCCACGGTGTCTGCCCCCAAATATCAGCCTGTATAAACAGTGTCTAGAAATCTTTGTTTAATGTATGATGTTTTGCAAGCTAACCCATTCGATCTCTTTTTTAAATTAATGTGCCCTTCTCTGAAATCATCAGGAAAAGAATCATCTTTGATGATGATGTGGGCCTGGACTTCATGCCTTGAGTCCTGTCTCAAAGGCTTTCATTTCCTTTGGGGACCTTGACTCATCCCTGCCAGCCCTACGATCACTCTTGAGGAGCTGTCTGTTCTTATTTTCCATTCCACTTCTCATCTGGAAACATGTCTTTAACTCCCTGGAGGAGATAGAATTTATACCTTATATCAAAACTCTGAGCGCTCCAGACATTGACTACAAGAGAGGGCACACATAGGCCCTTCCTATGGGCCTATGGACCTGGACCCCTGAAAGGCTGCCTTTCCAGGCCAGACCATGTAGGCCCCCACCCCCAGAGGTGGCTGCTGTTAGAACGTGTATACAGACGCTCCAGACATCAAAGACACTGAGGCCTGGAAGATGGGATAGGTTGGGGGTGTTCTTTCTTTCTGCGGAATCTTTCCTTGCCAGTTCCCATTTCTTATCTCAGAATTTGCTTCTTCCCTGAATAACTGACAGTGAGAGGTCCAGGTGGACCACCACTAGAGGGCCTGGCAACAACCATAGCCATCAAAAAGACTCTTACTAATCAAAAGCTTTCCATGTAATCCTAGTGCAGAGGCGAGTTAGTTTAACCATACTGGACACTTACTGATGTGGTGAAAATTGTGTCTCGTGGATTTTGCCTACTGGCAGATTAAGGAGGTATTCCTGGACTTTAGTGTAGGAGTTTTATTAGGGACTCAGGAAACCTGAATTCTGGTCTTTTGTTTTGCTGACTACTTACACGGCCTAGGACTTCTTCCTAGGGTCCTCATTTTCTAAGCTATTAAATGAATTTCACTGGTAGCATGATTTTTAAGGTCTTTGTCAATCAAGAAGTCTAAGACTCTGTATCAGTGATGGCAGACTTTTTAGAGCTTTTGAATGAATACCCTACTGCAGCATGCCTGCTTCACCACCACTGCCTGTTTCATCATTGCAGGTCTATATTAACTCCAAAAAGTAGGTAGTGTAATTTGTTGAGCGACACATCGTATCTGCGATGGTGGTTACCCTTCTAATCGCCCACTTGGCTGGTGACTGTAGCTGTTTTGTGGAGTCCCAAGCATCTCAACAAATCTCCTTTGTGAGTGTGGTCCATCGTAGGCCTGAATTTTAGTGATGATAGCTTTCTATATAAAATGTAGAATCTTCCGTTTATCCAAATGAATTCAGTTATATCGGGGTTGTATTGTTGAATATACTCCCTTGTAGATTAAATATAAGGAATTATTGCTAACTTTAACATTTATTAAAAGAAAAAATATATCCAGTCTTTCTACTGCAAAAAGCATAACTGGAGTTTTAATATGAATTGCATCAAATCTGTGTATTGTTTTGTGTGGTACTGACATCTTTACAATAAAGAACCGTGGTCATCTTCTCTATGAACTCAAGATGCCTGTTTATTAGACCCTTCTTGAATGTCTTTCAGCCCTGTTTGATACTTTTTTGCATCCAAACTTTTGCTTTTTAAGTTAAGTTTGTAAGTATTTTTTTCCTTTTGACACTAATATAAATGGTTTTGCTATTTTAATTCCTTTTTTCACTTAGTTGTTGTTAGTATGTAGAGATGCCACTGATTTTTGTGTTGATTTTGTATCCTTCACTTTGCTGAATTAATTTTTCTAACAGTTGTGAGCATGTTTATGTGTCTGTATTTTCTATGGATAAGATCATGTCATCTGCAAACAGTGAAAAGTTTCTTTCTTTCTAGTTGAATGCTTCTTCTGTTTATCTGTCTTTCTTTGCCTAATTGCTCTGGCTAGTGCATCTATTTTTATGTTGGTAAAAAGTTGTTAGAATAACTCTCTTCTTTTTCCTGATTTTAGAAGAAAAAGTACCAGTCACTTATCATTGAGTATAATATTAACTGGGAGCTTTTCAGGAATGGCTTTGTTATGTTGACATATTTTTTCTTTTATTCCTAGTTTGTTGTGCATTTTTATCTTGAGAAGGTGCTGAATGTTGTTACATGCTTTTTAAAAATCATCAGTTGAGATGATCATTGTGGGATTTTTCTCCTATTAATGTGATATATCACACTGATTGATTTTCTTCATATATGAATCATCTTTGCATTCCTGGGATAAATCCTGCACTGTCCTTTTAACACACTACTGAAGTTGCTTTACTAGTATTTTGTAGAGAATCCTTTTTGCTTCAGTATTCATAAGGGGGTGGGGTTTGTAGCTCAGTGATAAAGCACTCACCTAGCCTGCACACAATCTGAGTTTGGTTCCTGAGCAACAGTGCGTGCAATTACATGTGCACGCATGCATGCATGCTCAATACCCCTTGCCCACCACACACCAGAAGTAATCAGGGGGTACTCCTGTTCTCACAGAATGACTTTGGAAATTTTTCCTTCTTTTTGATATTTTAGAAGAACTTGAGCTGGACCTAGAGTAATTCTTTAAATGTTTGATAGAATTCATCAGTGAAGCCATACTGTCTTAGATTTTGTTGTGGGGTATGTTTTTGTTTTTAATTGATCAGTCTCCTCTTTCTGTATAGGTTCTTCCAGATTTTCCATTTTTTCATGATAGTCTCGGTAGGGAATGTGCTTTCAGATATGTGTCCATTGCTTCTAGGGTATCCACCTTCTTGCCATTTAACTTTATTCACCAATTATTCTTTTTATTTCTATGCAATCAATAGTCATGATCTTTCCTTGATTTCTGATTTTAGTTACTGCAATTTTTTTCTCTTGTTTTCGTAGTCCAGCTGAAGATTTTTCAGTGTTAGTGATCTTTTCAAAGAACCAACTCAGTTCTGTTGACTTTTCTTAGAGGCTAACTTTTGTGACTCTTACAAATCATCAGTCCACTAAACAAGCTGGTATTGTAGGTTAATTTTGTATTAGACTTTTGTATTATGTGAAAAAGACTCATTTGCCATATATTTCTGGGTATGTGAAGGGTTTAAATAAAAATTACTTCAAAATAATGAATTAAATGTCTCTGCCAATTTTTTCCTGCTTCTTGGGTTATGCCTGGGCCTCCCTGTGCATCGTAGTTCATTCTTTTAATTTGTTGCATTAAATGTCTCTCATGGATAGTTAATGCAGTATGTTCTAATTTGATTCCCAGCTGGAAAGTTCCTTGTATTTTTCATCATACTGAACTGCTAAAAGTTCAGGTGAGATTAATTTTTATTATTATATTAAATGAAAGCCAATATTATTCATAGAATTGGGTCAGTTTAGGAAGGAAAGATTAGGGGCTCATTGCATTAAAAATTCTGATTTCATAAATCATGAGCTCTCCTCCCCCTACTCCCCCAAGTAAAACTTTTTGTCATTATTATAATTCATCAAGTGGCCTTCTCTGAGTTTATCAGCCACAGATAGTTTCAGTGTTACTTTCAAGGATGTACCACTCAAAACAATTCCGTAACTTCTTAAACGTAGAAGTTGAGCATTTTATTCAGGAGATTTTCATTACGTTAATTTCTTCTTTTCCTTCTCTTCCCTTGTATCCTTTGTAATCAAAATGTCTAGTCATATTTAATTTAATTTTTTAAAAAGTTTTGCTATACTGGGAATTAGAACCAGGCCCAAGCACTTGCTGGGAAAGTGGTCTATCATTGAGCTATATTCACAACCCTATATTTTATTTTTTAAAATTTATTTGAATGACAAATAATGGTTATATTTATTTGAAGTTGTGCATGATTATGTTTTACATGTATGCTTTGTATATGAATTAAAATTATGAACCACTTTAAACTTGTATGTCATACCTGTGCATAGGCTATGCTAATCCTTTCTGTATTACACTGATTTTAGTGTATGTGCTACCAAAGCATGTACTTTAATTTCTTTTTAATAATACTCTCCTCAATCCTTTTGAACCAGATACATTTTATCTCAGAGGCCTGAAGATGACCTGACTTTCATAGTGCATTGTTTCTTTCATTATTCCAAAACTTACCTGCAGTTTCTATTTGTGAATCAAGCCACTTATTTAAAAGAATGCAATCAAAGTTTGCATAGATTTATTCATTTGTTATCTGATTACTTACTAATGATCTCTTATTTCATGAGCAAAATATTTCTTATACAACTAATTTATAGTGTGTATTTCATTTCCTTGATTCAACATCTTCTTGTATTTTAACACTTTTGAAATTTGATGTATCCTGCAATTGCTACTATTTTACAACTATTACTGCCAACACTTTTGATATTATTCTTAGTTCATAAAATTGGGTGCATTTTTCATTCAGTAGCAGTTAGAGTTGGACGTGGTTGTGCATGCCTGTAATTGCAATACTTGGGAGACTGAGCCAGGAGGCCACAAGTTTGAGGCCAGCCTGAACTTTACAAAATAAGACTCTGTCTAAAACCAAAAACAAAAGCAAAAATGAAAACGAAAACCAACAGCAAAAAATGAGCAGTTAGATTTGATGAAAAGTTACTATGAATGATCACAGTAATAATTACTGTTAGAATCTTACTGTGAGCATTCTACCTTTACAATAGAGGCTGTAACTGACAGTGTAATAGTTTTATAACGGCTTAGAATGAAAATCAGCTGTAAGCTCTAAACCTGTATACTTAAAAAAGTGTTTTCTGGTATGTATTTTACTCCAGTGCTTTAAAAAAAATATGCGTATATGGTTATTTGGTTGTAGTTCTGGTATATGTCCTATTTTTGTTCCTCTTACTTTTCATTGCTACATTTTAGTTTGTCCCTGCTGTGGGGTTTCTTACATGTCATTTATAGTAGCTCTATAGTCCATCTAGTGTTGATCAACTGTTGAAAGTTTATAATTGTTGCTATTTTCCCTGTTTGGATACTACTTCAGTGTATACTTTTTTTCCTGTATTTTTATTAGTTAATTTTGACCATTTTCTTTATGAAATACAACTTTTGTAGAAGTCACCTCAACTGTGTTTTATTGCCAAGAACCAACCTTTATATTTAGTGAAACCGGTAAGTAAATAGCTAGTTTTATGATACGTTCATCTGTTCTTTCATTCACCTGTCCACCTACGGTACATTAGATCATTATGTGTCTGCTAAAAGCCAAGAGCCAAACATTCAAAGTTAAATAGGGCTCTCTTCTGACTTTGATATCTGATAGTCTAGTGGGAGATTCATAGATTTGTCAAAAATACATACTACAAGGGGATTATGTGATATTGGAAATAAATGGCTAGAGTTCATTAGTTATTTGAGATTGGCGTTGACAGCTTTGTTGGTTAGTATCCTTTAAGATATGAGATGTGAGTGTTTCATGTCCTATAAATTTTTAAAAATGTGTATATCAGGTAGATATAGTAGCATATTCCTATAGTCCCAGCTGTTCAGGAGGCTGAAGTAGGAGCAGCCCTAGAGCCCAGGGTGCAGGCCAGCCTGGGCAATTATAGCAAGACCTGGTCTCAGAAACAAACAACCCACCCTACTCCACCCCAACCCTTTAAAACACAGTATATAATAGGTTTATCTGGCAAAAAATGCTGCCGGCAGACCTCGGCTTCTCCCTTCATCTCCTAATCTGTGTTCTGTGAGGGCTGTGGTCCAGTGCCTTTCCAGAATTCCATATGTCATGCTCATCAACACACTGAGCCTCCTGTGCCAGTGCTGTGCCCGCCTCTTTCTCCATTCCCTCACACTACAGACTGCTGTGTTGAAAGTAGTAGATAATCCATTTGGGTTAAATTACTTTTTTTCCCCAAATGAATATTATTTCACCATTTTATACTTTGCATGGTAACTTCATTTGACTGCCATTTATATGCTATGATGTTGGTGAAATTAGTTTCATGTTAATATTATCTTGTCATATTCGTTTAGTTAAAATTTCAAATTAAAAGGATATTTGAGAGATTATACAATGCAACAGAGATGTTTATTGTGAAAATTTAAAATTTTGCTGTTAATGATGCTTGAAAGTAGACGTCTCATAGGATAAAATAAAACAACCTTAAATTTTAGAAGAATCTCTTCATCTCAAAGAGGGAGAAAGTATTTCTGTATTATTAAGTATTATTGCAGGTTTTGATGCAGTGACTGTTTTGGAAATAGCCAGCTAGGGTTTCATCATTGAGAGATCTTTAGCTAGCTGTGAATTTTTCTTCTTTATCCTTGGGGAAAAAACCCTGACTCATTTGTAAATTTCCCAAAAATATATTTCTGTAACTAACTTTGGAGTGTAGTTTCCTTGAAACCACTTTTCTCTTTTCATCTCTGAAACTTCAGGAGCTGGTTTGTGTCACATTCTTTCCAGAGCTGTGGTAGTTGGATTGTATACTCACCTTGATGGTCCCACACGTCACTATGTGCAATCACTGTCCCATTGAGACCTCCAAAAGAAACTAAGGACGAGCGAAGTCTGTTATTGACCGAGATAAATTTACCGCGTATTTTCAAGACACTGTGTTATCACCATGTAACTCACTTGGACAGCTGTGGAATGCAACTCTTGTTTCACCCACCATTAGATATTTCAAGGCACCTGACTACACAGAAGAATATGTAGTAACAGTGGTCTGCCAGTTGATGGGATTTGAAGTGACATTTACATTGCCATCTTTCCCCCATGGTGATTTATAGCCCGATTTCTGTGACTGGGATTGATATTTTGGGAGGTCTTTATGAAATAACACCACAAGAAAGAAAATTACATGCGTGCTTCAAGTTTTACATTTATTTTTAAGCCCCTTTCTGGAGTATGTAACCTCTTGTTGTGTACAGCTAACAAAAGGTAGCTGTTCTGTGTCATGAAAGCCTTCCTCGGTTCTCAGAGACCAAGAGGAACCACAGAGAGATGCTTTCTTTCTCTGCACCCTCCTTTTTATTAATGCCTTTGATGCATTTGACTGTCTTTTGAAGCCCTTTTGATCACACCAACAGTCTGTTCTGCGCTATCTTAACTTGTAGCTTTGTCTGCAAAATTTGTGTGGTTAGCCTGCGACATATGCTGATAAATGGCTTAGGTTCAGCATTCTCAGACTTGGAACTAAATATGCTGCAATGCTCTGAACTGATGGATGCAGCTTTTCAACAAAATTGATGTCTTTATGGTCGAATATAAATCTTTGAGTGCCTTCGTTTGCATTTTCATCATCGTGTGTAGTTCTTGACCACTGACCTTCAAACTGCCTCATCTTGTAGAGATCTGTGTGTAAGTGGAAAGACAAAACTGTACTTCTGCCCACTTATAACAATAGAAATGGGGAGTGTGAGTTTCTGGCTAGATGTAAACAGTGAGAGCCCCAATTAACAAATGGATTACAATCCCAGTGCTTTGTGTCAGTGAGTGAGTGGCTAAGAACTTTGAATGTGTTACGTGAAATATGCAAAAAGATATGATAATGCAAATAATAGAGAGTTTGACCAAAACTTTTTTTGAGCCATAGCATTCCAGAAATAAAGTTTTATTTGTATCTTAAAACATAACCTTCCTCCATGTTCCTCTGTGGGAAAATGTTCTTAGTTCTGCTTTGGAATCTTAAGAACCATAAATATTTTAGTCTTCACAAGATAGTCACCTTTCTCTACCTGTTATCTTGGAGCATTTATCAACTGGGGTTCTCTGATCGAGAAGTAATTGATTTAGAAGATATTTGGCATGTTCCAGAATGGCTGGAGGCTGAGCAAAGGGCAGGAACAAGTGGAGACACCACAGCCAAGTCCTACAATAGGGTACGTTCCATTTAAGGTACAGCCACCACTGAGCACTGCAGATTGGGGTTCACATTGACTACCTGTTGTGACCAGACATTAGGGATTATCTCTGTCACTTCAACTTTCACTGCCTCTGGGTACTAACCATTTTTGTCCCTTTCTTCACCCAAGATGGTTTCCTTCTGCTACTCTCTTTTTATATCTCTAGCTCTAGATTCAGGGTTTGCCAAGGCTAAGTTATGTGTCTCTGTGTTAGCTGCCAGGGACTCTGGGAGGGTGACTATTCAGCGATTTTTGCTTCTGTGATAAAAGTGTGCCTCTCATTGAAACTTACTTGATGAGAAAGTTCCCGAATACAGGAAAGGGATTTGGATGTTAGGCATTACCTATCCTCCTCCCCCTGTATGGATAAATGTTATCATTAGAAGCTGTGGTATGGGATCTGGTAGAAACAGAGGTGACTGCAATGGCCAAAGGTGTTTATCCATCTGAAGCTGCAGTCAGTGAACTCTAATAGTGAAGCCAATTCATTCTCCTTTATTTACTGATATTCAGAGACCCTTTTTCCATATGCTAACTAAAGCTAGTATTGTGACAGTTTCAGCATAATACCTCTCATGGTATGTTCTTTAACAAGATAAAACTCTTTGAAATAAATTTTAATAATTACATTAATTAGGAGGAGCCAATTAAGATTTATCTGTTCCCCTGTTTATGGTAGAAAATGTAATTTCACATTATCAGTATGTCTTACACGGTTGGGTGGATCAGTTGTTATCTTTCTTTTATTGTGTGTGTGTGTGTGTGTGTGTGTGTGTGTGTGTGTGTGTGTTAAGATAAGGTCTTGATGTATTACCCTGGATGGTTTTTTTCTTTCTTATTTTAAAGGTTTAATTTTACTACGAAGCAAATTTTTTTTTTTGGTACCAGGGATTGAACTTGTGACCTCACACTTGCCAGGCAGGTGCTTGTGCCGCTGAACTAAATCCTCAGCCCCTAGAAATATTTTTTAATTGTCCATGCTTTCAAAGGCAATTTAAAAACAAGAGTACAAAAAGTATTTTGGGCAGTAGAAGCACTTTACAGGAACTATGAGACCTCCCAGGATGACCACTCTGAGAAGACAATATGCAATTAGATTTATAATTTTTGGTATATTTTTAAAAAATCGTT